GCTTACTCTGCTTGTCTGGGGAGGAAAACTCGCTGAGCTCTCGCTCAGAAAAGTCTGGAAGGATTCTGAGTCACTCCAGCTGATTCATCTTCATCGTGCCTAGCTGGGATCTCACCCTTTCCATATGCACAACAGCTCCTGGGCTCCTGCTTAATGCTTGTAATAAAACTGCTCGTGCAGTTAAGCACTTCCTTAAAATTACAGGAGAGGGACAGTCTGGTGACTTAGTGGTGTGTAGTTGTATACACCTAATGCACATTTATAATTGTGTCATCACTCACCAGCCTTCAGTGTGGTGAGGCTGGGCTAAGGTTTGTGTACACAGTGAGAAAACCTTGAGCAGGAAAGGATTTGGCTGCCTGTGTTGCTTTATTGCGTGCCCTCAGTTACCTGGTGCAGGGCTGCAGTAAGGAATACACCTGTAGGCAGGTGAGCTTTAAGGTCCCTCTCATCCCAAGCCTGTCTGGGGCTCTGATTCTGTGCATTGGTATGATGGGGTAGTTGTCACAGTGACACAGGACAGAACATACCAGAACTGCCAGAGTCCCTCAGAAACGCTCTGGTTTTCACACAAGGCTCCTGAACCAGTCCCAAACAAATCTCTCTGGTCTGTGGGCTTTGTTACCACTCCCTGCTGGCTGGGGCTCAGGTCTGATAAAAATAAAATTGAATGTACGCTGTGTGCACTCTGGGGGAGGATCCTGTGAGCGCCAACGGAAACATTGTCTGTTCGGATGTGAAGAAATACAGCATTTGCTACTAAGGAGTGAAAATAGAATTCTCCCAAATGACACAAAAAGAAGCAATTATAAACCAAATGACATCTCTGTTGGGCTTAACGTGGTGTGGGATAGACTTACTCAAACTGTCTTTGCACACTCAATGTCCTCAGCAGCGTGGCTCCCAGGATTGAGGGTTCCTTGGAGGATTCAGTGTTAACTTGGTGAAAGCACTTAGGCCAGTGTTTTGGGAAAAGCTGCGTTGACTGCCCTCAGTAAAAATGAAATTGTCGCCATATTACAGCAGGTGGAAGCAGCAAACCAGGGAGGGATGGTTATTTCAGGTTTCCTTGCTGTTCTCCAGAGGCACTACCCAAGGGGGGCTCAGTGTTCCCTCAGCTGGCTCAGGGAGGCTTCTGAGCTGTGCCTGCCTGCTGCTGGGTGCAGCGGGTGGCAGCTGGCATCATGCGAGGAACAAGTGCTCAGACCCAGCCCTGGAGCAGCACAGTCCTCTCCAGGCAGAGCACTGGAGCATCTCTTCCCGGGGAATGCCACTGTTACCTTTTCACTGTGGTGCCTACACTTTAGAGGTTTAGGGGATCTTCAGGGGCGTACTCACCTGTGGAGAAAGATGCCAAAGTAATTTGGCTTAGCCACTCTGTTGTTAGAAAATAACTTTTTGGCTGAAGTATTTGGAGAACCCCAAACCATCACCAAGGGATGCTGTGGTAGCAAGGTGGGATCATTGTTCTGTTTGGCTCTGGAGCCCCAGTGGCTGCTCTGCAGGACAGGGGTGGCTGTGGTGGGTAACCCAGAGCCTCGCTGGCAGCTGGGGTTCCCTTGCCTGTGATCACACCCCTCGGGTTTCCTGGAGTGGAGTCATTGAACAGGCACCCTGGGAAGGGACAGTGAGGGTTTTACACATCTGGGCTGGAGGAGCTAAAGCCTGGGGGTGCTTTTCTCTGGTGTTGGGGGGATCTCTCTGTCTGGGCAGAGTGGCAGTTGATTGCAGGGTCAGAAAGGCTCAGATGCAAAACCTTGGCTGTGCTTTGTCCTTCCCTTTCCCTCCAGTGTTAAAGATCATCACTGTGGTCTGGAGCTCCCTCCCAAGGGGCAGCTCCCATCTCTACTCCCTGTGAGCAGGAACAGGACCTGAGGAAGGGCTGGGGCTGTGTCAGGAAGGCTTTAGGCTGGAGATCAGGAAAAGGTGCTTCCCCTTTGGGTGAAGGGTGCTGGCACTGCCCAGGCTCCCTGGGGAACGGGCACAGCCCTGAGGCTGCCAGAGCTCCAGGAGGGTTTGAACAGCTCTGCCAGGGACAGGGTGGGACTGCTGGGGGTCTGTGCGGGGCAGGAGTTGGACTGGCTGATCCCTGTGTGCCCCTTCTGGTCCAGGATATTCTGCACTCTGTTCAAGTGCAGGATTTTAATGCCACTATCTAGGGAGAATACACACATGCCAGTTGGCAGCCTGAAAAAAAGGCAAACTCCAGCTGTTCCTGAATATAGAACCACTATCCTGTGACCCCATCTCTCCTCAACTGTTGCACTGTTGTTCTCCACAGATGATAAATTCCCAAGGTAGGAAGTCTGTCTTTACTCCTTTCAAATCCAGACCTCTCCAGATCTCTGCTGTTTATGCCATGAAATACTCAAGGACTCCACACTGTAGGTCACATCAATCTGAAGCCAGTGTGTTTTTCTAGCCGTGTAGTTAATCAGGAACTGGTTATTTCCCAGTCCTCTGCCTGCAAATGCATTCCATGGGCGCTCAGTTGCTTTTGGACAGCTGAGGAGTGAGTAATAGCACGGGGGTTCTTGCGTCAGAATAACGATGAGGGGAAATGGATGAGAGGGTCAGAGAAAGGAGGAAAATGTTGTTTTGAGCGCAGTGGTCCAAATCCTGGCATGTGCTGAGAGTGTCCTGAGCTCACTCTGACTTTAGAGAATTGGGAGGCTCAACAAAACGCCAAGCAGCCTTTGGATTTGGGGCTTGCTAAACAATTCCTGCTTGGAAGTTTGGTTTGATAGAAGCTACCCATTTCCACATTATTTATTCTGCTGATTGGCTTCTCTGGATTGCTTTTGCTCTGGACAAATAAGTGACAAATCTGGGAAGAGGCAAACTCGCCAAATTTGAACAGTCAGGGCTCCATAGACCAAAGCTAATATTGGCTGAGGCGGGGTTGTGCTGAATGTGATGAATCCCCACACCAGGGCACCACAGGCAGCAGGGTTTGTGTCGGTGCCACCTGGGGCACTGCTGGCAGGAGCAGACTGGGGGGCCTGAACACCCCTGGCCCCAGGGTCCTGCTGCAGGGGGGGAACAAATCCCCTTGTGCTGGTGGCACGGCAGGGTTGGGGTTTGGGGGCCCTGTCTGAGGGGTGCTGCTGTGTGGCCTGGGACAGCTGAGTCCTGCAGTGTGGGTCAGGCTGGCCCCAGTTCAGCCCCAGTACAGGGGGGTGTCTCAGAGCAATGAGCTCCTGAGAGCCCCTGCTTCAGGCTAGGGAAGTGTTTCACTGAAGCACTTACGTTGGAAAAGCCCTCCAAGAGCATCGAGCCCAAGCTGTGAGCTCAGCTCACCAACCAGCCCAGAGCACTGAGTGCCACATCCAGCCATTCCTTGAGCACCAGGTTCCTCTGGAATGTCTGTTGTGATGTGGAAGCAGCTGCTGCACCACAGCTCGTGTTGTCCTTTGTCCCTTTTTCACCAGGTTCCTCTGGAATGCCTGTTGTGATGTGGAAGCAGCTGCTGCACCACAGCTAGTGCTGTCCTTGTCCCTTTTTCACCCAGCACTCCCTCTGCACACGAGCTGTACCTTCTCTCAACCCTGCCTGAAAGTGGGCAGCTTTGAGGTGAACCTCATAAGGTCATTTATCCCTCCCTGCCACGGCAGCAGCAGCAGGGCCCCTGCATTTGCTGAAAGCTTTGCCTGCCAGCTCTGACCGATGGTTGTTCCCTCTCGTGCATCTCGTGTGATGGAGCATCCCCAACTTTTCCTGACATCTTGCTCAGTTGTTCTGCTGTTCTCTGTTGTTGCGGCAGATCCCGGGCGTTGTTTGCTGAGTGGAATTGGAGTTACTGTTTGTTTCTTCATTGGTGCTTTATCATGCTGCCGTTTCTGTACACTTTGGGTAACTTTTTCTCACCGCTGAAGACGGATGGCACCGCACCGCCTGGGCTGGGTTAGGATGAGGGGTTTGGGGAGGGAGGAGGTGCTTGCGAGGCCATTGATCCCATCTTTATAACTTTGCCCTTTTAGCTGGGAACAGATGATTTGCACGGGGGCTGGAGATCTGCGCAGGCAGAATCCGAAGGACCAAACTTTACATAAACCATTTATACTAAATGCTGGGAATGCTGGCAACATTAATCACCTACAGTATCTATTACAGATTTATCACTTTATCAGTACGGTCTGTGATAGGAGTGGTCCAAACAGGTGGGCAAGTGAACCTCAGGAAGTTTAGCCTGCTCGGAAATTAATTATTCAGGACACACAGAGCCTGGCCCCTTCAATGTATAGTAATTCTTTCCAGCCAGCACCCAGGCCTCCAACTTCAGTGCAATAATAAATAGGAAAAGTCTCAGGTGAAGCCAGTATTTCAGAGTAATTAATCATCTTCCCCTCACAGTCCCTCCACCTCTCTCTTGGTTTTCTTTAACGAGGGAATTTCAGTAATAAATCTTTAATGATATGTGTTAAGAATCCTTCATTAATTCTTGTCCACTTATTTCTCTTTTTTGGGTGCTTTTATGTTGTATGTTGGGAAGTTCAAAGGAATATACAAAAAAAAACCCAGTTAAATTTGGAAGAGTCTCTAAAAGGATGTTTTGGATGTCGAGTGTCGTGTTCGCACAGTAATCAGACTTGCTGGTTATTACCAGTTGTCCTGTCAAAATCTGGGATGCGGGTACCGAGTTAGGACAGGATGATAAAGGGAAGGGAGGGATGGTTTGTATGCTGCTCAGTGCAGCAGTGGGGCTCGATGTGCGTGGGGCAAGGCAGAGCCCCGTGGGGAAGGCATGGGCAGAGCCCATGGTACAGGCAGAGCTCCATGGCACAGGCAGGGTCCCTGTAGGGCAGGTGTGGGGCAGGCAGGGCCCAGAAGCGAGTGGCCGTGAGCGGTGGGCGCTGTGACAGGCATGGCAGTGACAGGGACAGCAGTGATGGGGACGGCAGTGACGGGGACAGCAGTGATGGGGACGGCAGTGACAGATCCGCCCTGGCACGCCGCCGGAGCTGCGGGTGACCGCTGTCCCTCCTGCCTTCGTGCCTCAGGCCAGCACAACGACGCGCGCATGAACCTGGCCATCGCCCTGACCGCCGCCCGCTACGGCGCCGCCGCCGCCAACTACACCGAGGTGCTGCGGCTGCTCAAGGGCCCCGAGAGCGGCCGCGTCTGCGGCGTGCGCTGCAGGGACGTGCTCAC